TTCTCTCTCCCCCTCTCTCATCAACTGATTAATAAAAAAATGAATAAATATAATATTTTTTAGGTAAAAAACTAAATTAATCAAACACTTATGATACATTTGATTGCCAATTTTTCTATGAAATTTTTTTAAATCCAAATTTCTACTTTTTGGCTATTTGATTGACATTTTTTCCATAAATTTTTTTTCCCAACTTAGGGTCATGTTATCATATTCTCCTCAAAATTGAGGAAAATATTTTTTTTCATGGGAGTAAGATTTTATTTTCCTAAGAATCCTCTCTCTAAGATTTTATTTTCCTAAGAATCCTCTCTCTCTCTCTCTTTCATATATCCACCAATAAAAAATGGATAAATATAATCTTTTCTAAGTTGAAAACTTAATCAATCACACACATTTAATTAATAATTTCTATACAAATAAATTCTAAACAATTGNTTTCATTAAGGGTGCGTTAATAAATTCTCAACAATTCAATTGTTTAGAATTTATTTGTATGAAAATTATTAATTAAATGTATTTGATTGATTAAACTTTCATACAAATAAATTCTAAACAATTGAATTGCCTAAAATTTATTTTCTTTCCACGTGAATTCCATACTCGTAATCAAACACAAGTTGAAATCTTGAGCCGCAGAGTTGCTGACATAAAATACAAACTTCCAAGTTTGTTTCTCCACGTTCACCATTTTTTACTTTGAAGACCGAGAAAATGCATGCAAGAAACAGAAAAAATATGTATAGTAAATGATACGAGACAAATATTTCTCTCTTTTATTAATTCTCATCTTGGCACAACCTGTAGAGACCAAATTTTTTACATTTGCTCCTTTGACGATCTCAACAGATTCTCCAAAACTTTCTTTTTCTTGTTTCATTCTTTTCTTTTGTAAAATTAAGGAGACTCTTGCAAATGTATGGCAAAGTACACTTTTTCAAACCCTAAACCTATTAAGAAAATGCCTTCGGAAAATTCCAAACTTTTTAGGACTTCATGCACAAATTACTATTACCAGCTTTTCTAGTGCTCCAATGGCATCCCCAACTGCACTTTATGTAGCTGTCGACGTATGGGATTCATTCTGTTCTGTTCTGTTCGGAACTGATCTTGCTACGTCCAGACTTCGAATCAACCAACAGTTTCCAATCCAACAATTTGCGTATACTCTACATCTACAAGAGTTATCAGATATTGTTACAACGCCACTGGGGATTTACACGAGTTTATTTCCTGCACATTTAGACACTGAAGACACTTGAGGCGGGTGATAATCTGGCCAAAAGAAGGGCGTGCCTGTGGATTTCTGCAGAAGAGGAACATCACAAATTAGATTTCCTAAGGGGACAAAGTTCATTTCTGTTATCTACACCATACGTCGATTACACAATACTGTATAATATTGCATACCAAACGTGCAGTTTAACACGAACAGGAATACAATGCATTCAATCAAGTATCACTGTATCAGACACTGAGAGGTAGAAACTAACCTTTTCCAACAGTCACTTATTATCTCCGCAACCAATGGATCAAGTGTCAGCGGAATATCAAGGCATCTACCCTGGAATCCAACAGCTCCAACAACCTGCATCGAATTCATTCCTGTCCATGGAACTCGTAGAGTTGCCAACTCCCATAATATTACTCCAAAGCTATATACATCAGATCTGCACATAGGAGAAGTCAATTATCAAGAAGATCATAAATAGAACTATCAAGAAAAATCATATTCTTCCAAATATAAAGTACACATCATGTTCAACTCACTTCTCATTGGAGGGTTCATTTCTTAGAACCTCTGGTGCCATCCACTCTGCCTGCATATTGAATAGCAATAGCCAGTAAATCATTTCCTGTTGCTATCAGTTTTTGTTCTTTCATTTTATTTCAAATTTCCTTTTTTTCCGAAAGGGGAAGAGAGGGGTGGGCACACTGAATGATTAATTGATCACCCAAATCTAACATGCATTACCGTTCCAGCAGCTGACTTCGAAGATAGAAAAGTATGGTGCTGCAATCGTGACATCCCAAAATCACAAACCTAGCAAGCCAAGCATGAGAATAAATCAGTGGGGAGAAAAGGTACCAGTGTCGTACCGAAAATGTCCTAAATATTAATCATTAGACCAAACCTTAACAACCCAGTTCTTATCAACAAGGAGGTTTGGAGTCTTCAAATCACGATGCACAATGATAGGTTGGCTCGTGTGTAAGTAATTCATTCCCTTGGCCTGCAAGAAAATGATATATGAACAGATGGGAGTAAAATCTTTACTACTGAAGTAAAAGAGAACAAGATTATCCGGCTAATACCACATCAAGAGCCATTCTTATCCGCCTTTTTTCATCAATTTGGATATTTGGACGGTGCAGCAGCTTATACAAACTACCCCTGCATATAGAAGAAGACGTTGTGAACTATAGAAGAATGGGGACAAACAGAAACATAACATCAA